CGCACACACCACATTACAGCCTACCTATTATTTTTTTTATTTTTCACATCTGTAGAGATTGGGGATGTCTGCAATAACAACAATCTAGTTAGATTAACATCCCATCACTGATTAGGAATGACCCACCTCTGAATCTATATATGAGTCAGGATCTCAGTGTAGCCATGAGCTGACCTTAGAGCATACTCTCCTGATAGACATTACAACCAGATATGATTAGATGCACCCGTTTTTTTAACTGTCTGACAAAACTTGGGAGGAGAACTCAGCTGTAATATAAACCAAATCCAGCAGATGCTCCTTTCTACATTTTTCTTTACCAAATAATACCATGACACCCTGATGCATCCTCCCTGATGATTGCTTTTTATACTTGTTTGTAATCTACAATGTATGCTCAATACATGACAAGCCCCCAAGTTTAACCATATACACACAAATCAACTACACAGTTTGTTTTGTTGCAGTACAAGTTTGTTTGACTCAAGAAAAAAAATGCTGTGTCATGGTCCAAAATGGGAAGCTAATATATAGAGCAAGTCTGGAAATATCCTTAAACCAGAGACTAAAACTTTTTAATGTCATTCACTTGAACAAGAGTTTTGCTGCACAAAAAAAAATGCAAATCATAAAACTGTGTCTTCAGTCACAACACAGAACAATATAGTACCACAGGGAGTCTGATTCTGCTTTCTCAACACAGTGTGTTTGTGTTGTGCCCAATTCCTGGCAACAGAATAGCTTGTACTGAATAGATGCACAATTTTAACAATATATTGCCAACACCTTAATATCATTCACATCATTCACTGATGGTCTTGGCTTGTTTCTGTTTTGCTTCATATTGTTTGTTTGGGAGTATGTCACTTAACTTCAACTTTCAATTTATCAAGGCACATTCCATGATCCTAGCGCAAAAAGCTTACAACACCAAGAGCCAAATTCATGGTATATCTAGGCAAACTCACCCAACAAACTTCATTGCAATGTATGTTAAGGCAGCTCCACTCACCAGTATGACCTCTAGTGCAGGTAAAATGCCCATGTTTGACAATGTCTTGAAGAAGGCGTCTCTGTTTTGAGGTTGTAACGTTTGTGAGAATGCACAGAACTCCTTCAGGAAGTTCACCTATAAGACAGAAACAAATTCAATTCAAACTCCATGAAACAAGGGACAATTGGAAAAAAGAGCAAACTGACAAATAACAATCTGTGATGAAGGTCTGGCATACCAGTTCGTGTCTTTTGTCGTCATCAGTAGCCTCATCTGTTAGCTGTGCAAAGAGGTCTGTCAGGAACTTCTCATCGTCCTGACATCAAAAGGAAAGGGGAGATGAGAAGGAATGAGTATCACAGAGACAGTCAAAAAATCAGGATGTAAAATAAAAAAACCAAACCTGACCGCCACAGTGTGTAACTGCCAATTGTGCACTTGACCAGATCTATTATAACAAAGTAGTTGGAGAACTGATACAGATACAAATAACCAGGAAACAAAATAGCACAATATCACCATATTTACAAATAACTGATTTTAAATGGTGTTATAGTGTGATATAATTGGTCATTATATACAACTTTTCAGAATTAAATTCACAATCAGAAATTAAGCACATACATTTTATTTACAGTTATTTTGAGCTACTGCTGTTTACATTAACAAAAAATCTGCTGTATATAAAAAGTTTGATGGATTATGTTTATTAGAAACTTTACACTGAATACTGAGTTTCATTCTGTGATATCTGCAATCCAGTATATCAAGTGCTACTTTAAATGAATAAAACACTTTGTTAAATTTGGCTTGACAAAACTATCTCTTGGTAAGCAAGGAAGAAATAGTCTGCAACAGTGGTGTTTGACTTCACAACTTCTCATGGCACAGTGTACCAGAGTCAACAGCGTGCCAGTTTCAGTTTTCCTCTAGCGCAGCATAACTGATTTACACAACACTTCCCCATCTCTATGGAGACAGCCATACATAAACACTGCTGAGTTGACACAGTACAAAAACACAAAGGTCACATGACCATAAAAGACTAGCAGACAAACTCAGACTGGGTAAAGCACAATCAGCCAAAAATAAAACCTTTGTACAATCCTACAATTACTGTAATTTCCAGTTCTCACTGCATAAACACTGTTTATGCATTTCAATGTTATGACAGGGTCGTCTGTTTGTAAAGCTTGTTTGTCATAAAAATTTGTAATACTTGCTTTTGCTTTGAGTAAAAAACTTTTAAGTGAAAGTGTGGTGCATTCACACTTATTTAAAAAAAAAAAAAAAAGGGAAACATCTGTCCATCTCACCTGTAGCATGCCCACAATCTCCACCTTGTTGAAGAAGATGAAGGAGTGCAGGGTGGACAGCATGTTTTCCTCAAAAACAGAGGGCGTGGGCAGCACCATGTCCTGAATATACTGCACCCGATATGTCTGGTGTATTTTCTGACGCAGTTCAGGATCAGAGATGGGGATCACCTCCTTAAAGCGGGCTGTCTTAGTGAGAAACTCACGATGCCGCCGTGGCTGCGGGAGTGCTGGGTCAAACTCCAGACAACCAATGACATCCATGATGCACTCATCAGAGAACATAACCTCAAAGAGTGCAGTACGATTGAGTAGGAAGATGCCTTTAATGATTTCGTACAGGTGGTGCAGTCCCTCTCGGTTCTCCAAATCCTCACACACACGGAACAGTTCCAGGAGCTTGCGAATGTAGCCCTCATTCTCTACAGCTAGTGCCAGTTTCTCACGCCGCAGTGGCGATGGGAGTGAGGAGGCCACCAGCTCAGCCAGGTCCTCCAAGCGGTTCAGTTCACATGGTGGTAACTCCAGACCTGGTGACGACATGTCATCAAAGCGTTCCTCCTCAGACTCGTCCACCACATCCTGGGTGATGTCCACTGATGGATCCTTCCCCTGCACCTTAACAATGAAATAAACATGAGTGACAGAGGATGTAACTAGCTACAGAAAAACCCAAACACATATAATATTAAATGCATATGCAGACGGAGGAGACAAACACACACACCCACAAAGAAAAGTGCAGTTACCTGGCATATTTTCTCCCAGATTTCATCACAGCCAGCCTTCTCTTGGAAGCTCAGCGCCAGATCATAATTTTCAGCCTCTGACCATACTATCAATGTATCCTTTTCAAAACAAAAACAAAACCAATTTACAATCAATACACAGAGAGGGAAATCTATATTCTATATGAGTATGCGCCAATATGCTATGTACTGACCTGCTGTTTCTGGTAGGCTGTGTTTGGGTTGATTTTTGACTCAAGCAGTAAGGAACCTGTCAAGTTAAAAACGAAGGTAGCCCATAAGTGTTGTAAAATGACTTAAATGAGGAAGCTAGGTTAGAATATTCCCTGTATACACGATTGATTCCAGCTGATTAAAATTAATCCGTGTGGAAGGTATTGTTGACATCATAACCAAAGAGCAGCTATAACAGTAGTCAGTACACTATAAGTAATCTCGTAATTGTCATGTGCCTTCCTCTTGCCTTAGACGGTTCACTTACCATCGCTCTCTGCTCGCACCAGTAGAGACGTGCCTCTCAATCGCTCCACATAGGCAGAAGAGACGTGCCCAGTCCCACGGTCATCCCACTGTCTATCCTCATTGAGGGTATAGACTTTGACTCGTCGACGAGTGTCCGTCATCCTGGCAGGTGGATGTAACCGGTTTCCCCCTCCCGGACCTTCTTGGCTTTTACAGGGTGTCTGCTTCACCTTGTAACGCCACAACTTCAGTTCACTTTTTACACCTCTTCACCTCTACAATGCGGTACTGACTTTACTTGTGTCAGGGGTCAACCAGGCTAACACTTCTTTGAAGCACCTTAAAACTGGAATACCTGGACGAGAACCCAGGAAGAGACCCCGATCAATTTTGCAGTTACAACTACAATATCTGATTATATTGACGAGCTGCCTTAAAACTTATCTTGCTAGGGTTATAGGCAACGCGCCACACAAAATCAGCTTACAGACCATTGTAGCAAGCTAACGACAGACTAATTTACAGTGCGGAGGGCATTGACGTTAGCTAAGTTTTAATCGACAAAACAAGAGCTGACAGACGTTACAAACTCCTAACATACAGTTGAGTGGGGAGTATTCAGAATAAGCCCCACTGTTACGACCAATGGCTCCCACAACACCCTGCCTGTTTATTAGTACAGTCTGTACGCTTGCGGGCAACGTTAGCCAGTTACGTTAGCTAGCAAACCTAACGAGTTGACTAGTTCGCTAGTACGCTAGCTACCTACGTTCCACATATTCAATGTTAAACAACCCTTTGAAGCAAAATGTCCAGACCTGTGCACCGATAACATTATTTCACACCTGCGGACCAAAGACACCGTGTATACCCTGAACCAATGTTTCTAATTGTGTCTGAATAATACGCCAGCTAGCTAGCGTTAGCCGCTATTTCTGCCCCAAGTGTTCCGCCATGTTCTGGCTCGGGGCCGCGGAGAGACCACTCTCTCCATACTGGTATTCATGCATCCCAAAAATTATGCAACCCAACAAACTGTAGTCGTATAATTACTTCAACGTTACGCTTCACATTATAATGCTATTTGCCATTCATTCCCGACGTCTTGCTCAGATAATTGCTAACTACCCCCCCGCGAGTATTCAGCCATCTTGGGTCCCTTCAGAATCAGTACGGGGTTTCCAGCACAGCAACAACAGGGCAGCCCGCCACATTTAAAGAGACAGTAACATAACAATTGTAAGGAGCAGAAATGGCTCGTCCTGCAACACCCAGCATTAACTCTGTCTGATAAATATTATACTTACCATCCAGCCACTGTGCATCATATTCACCCGGTAGTCCGACCATTTGACACATGTAGATCCAAATGATGATCCTTGTTGACAAGCAATTTTTTACCATGAGACTCTGACTCTTAACAGGAAAATGTTTCCCCCCTTGTATGAAAGGTTATATATTCAAGAGTGGAGGCTAGTCAGAAAACAGTTTATTTTGTTTAAATCAAAGAAAACAACAGGGATAGAAGAAATCAGATGCTATGCAAAACGATAACAGCATTTTACATCATGATAGGCTATAGTAACGATAATAATAATAACAGATGAAATATGAAAATCTACCAGAATCAGTTAAATTAATAGGAAAGTCAGTATGCAGATATTTATTCAGTCAAAAATAAATCACCTGCATTCAAAATCCACAACATGTTTGAATCCAACTGCCCAGTAAAGGTATAAAAAAAACATGTCATATAACTTTTAGGGAAAGCACACTACTAAAAATTTGACAAACAAAAACTGTTTGCATCTGGCCTGTAGGGAACTTTTCCAAGCATGGATCCCTCTCCATCAATAAGTTAGTCCTTGCAGCCATGAATCCCTCTCTCCTTGTGATGTAACAAACATATGCATGCTGCAGGGCATGACTCCATTTCAATATGAAGCACATAATGTCTGACTTTACCCCATTTTACAAACCCTCTCCTTTCCCAATGTATAGTATAATGTGAAAACCCACCCCTCAAACTGACAATGTTGTCCATATACACAGATCTATACGATGCTGTGGAAATGTAGTGCAGTGTAAACTCTTTCCAGGTGTGTGTAGCAGGACAACCTGTCATGGATGCCTTTACTTTGTTGCCTGCTGAGCCTGACGCCGCAGCAGGACATATATCTTCTCTTTGATCCAGTCTTTGTTGTATGGTTGGTATGTCTGGGTGTCAGCTCTGTACCTGTTAAAAAATTAAAATGATACTTTTACTGGAAGTGACCAACACACCCACCGCAAGGATGGTTTTCAATCAAATAACTGGTTCACCAGCCAGATCATACTTACACAAGACAGCTAAGATCAGCCAAGTCATCAATAAAGTCAAACAACTGACTAATGTCATAAGTGATGGAGGGACTGTTTGGATTCATCCTCTTCAGATGCTCTTCATACATTTTGCAAACACCTGGAAGAGATGTGCAGAATATGCTGAACAGAAGCAAAACTATTTCCAGTGTGCATCAAAAGAAAATAGCTAAAACGTTACAAATAAAAAATATATAATTTAGTGTATATTGCTTCAGTCACACCAATGTAACAAGGTTCATTGGGGAACACTACAGGTTTCACTAAAAGGGAGAGATACAGGAGAAACAACACAGGATTAATAAAGAGACAACTTGACAATTAAATGTTTTAAGCATAAAAAAGTGTCCAGTGGTACTCTGTAGATCAGACTAGCATTCAGTTGAAATATCATAGGATCAATTCCAGTTCATGCACATATATACATTTAGTGTTATGTCATGTCTTTCTACAGTATACTTACCATTCAACAACTAAGAAGTTACAAAATAAATGTAAAACTTCTTACACTTGTAATTCTTTTACACAACTGCATTAAATTGCATTTATATTGGCACTCACATCCCAAACTGTAAACAGTCCGAAGCATATTTTATGAGGGAAAAATAAGGTGCTGAATGAGCTTACACTCATTGATGACAGAAAAGCATAACTATGCTTACAGTGAAAACGGGAATATTGTTCAATTTAAAAAAATATGTGCCAATAATGAAATATGGTTTTAGTCTACATTCATTACGCCACATGTAATGACAAAACAGCACTTTGACTTATTAATGAATAGTACTTTAAAACGGCTGCAGACTCACCTTCCATACATTCATTCACTGACTCATAGTCAGCATACGTGCGGCCCTCAGGTCTCTTGGTCGGTTGGACAAGCAAAATTGTGTGCGACTGTAAAGATGATTGATAGTATTTAATAAATACAAAATACGAAGTTCTTTTTGTCACATTAAATACCTGAGTGATGCCGTCGATGTGACGTGACACAACAAGCACTCCTATAACCTTCTCCCCAGAGATTTTCAACCAGGAGGTAAACGCTGGTTATTTAGCAACAGAACACTCACTGTGAAGTTAATGTAGTGGCTTATCTTTCATAAAAGACCCCACATGCTTCATCCATATGTGGGTTTAGCATGCAGAGATGAGTTAATGAAGACCTTAGGTTGAAACTGTCTTTATACCAACAGAGCAAGTGGGACAGAATACATGTTTGACAGAGTAGTAAACGTTAGCCTCGAAGCTTGTTAGCTTAGCTGTGATGGCTTAACAAGAGCTATTGTGAATAATATTGGGAGTTTTTTCCTCTTTAAACGTAAAAACAAACAAGCTTACCATGTTTGTGCTGACTGTAGACACTGTTATACTTATTGGGGATGCAAAACTGCAAATAAAAGCGTTATTTATTGCTTCTCAACCCCCCCGTGCGATGTAGCTGTTTGAGCAAAAATATTCAGGGGAAATTAAAAAAATCTTTTTCCGGTTGCAAAGTGAAGTGCCTTCAAAATAAAGGCTTTGTTTCAAAATAAATGTCTGGCATTAAAACTGCAAGATCAGTCATTTGTAATGTGTCTGGAAACATTTTGTTCGTGGACGAAAAAGTATCTACATCCTTTACTTTAGTAAAAGTAGCAATCCCATAAAGTAAAAATACTAGTAGTAAAAGTAAAAGTCTTGCAAATCCATAACATCATTCACTTGCACAAGTAAAAATAAACTGCTTATTAGCAAAATAAGTATCAAATGTGACAGTATTTATTATGCACTGTAAAAGAAGAAAAGAGAATCCCCTAGTATCACCTCAACCCTGTATTTAGGCCTAACGATAGTACTTTAGTAAATGTAGTTAATTACATCACATCACTGTGTATAATGTATTTATTTATTGTAAACTGAACAGTACTTTAATAAAGAGTTAAATCCAAATAAAGTGCCATTTTGGAAACATTGTAAGATAAGATGGAGACACAGATAAACCACACCATTTTTTCAAGGTTATTGGAGAGCTGAAGATTTATTGATTGGGTTTATGATTTAATTTGAATAATCACATTGACATACATTTATTTTAGTGCTGAACCATGAGGCAAAAAACACAAATGAATATAGTTAGTGTCACAAACAAAATGCCAAGGATCAAAAAGATAATAAAAATCAGAATCTAGAGCATTGATTATTTATATGTTATAATGTGAGGCTATCTAGATCATTTGTAATGTAAATGTAAATGTTTAAATGAAATGTGGGATGTTTTACAGTACATGTTTGTGTCTGTCTTCATATATGTAAATATACACTACATGTGTGATTAGCTTCATAGTGAGGGCATCCTGGTTATCCTGTGTACTGGAGGTATTAGTGGTGTGCAAGGTTATGCCCTTGCCCTTAGAGCACCCCTGGGTGGCCCTCTCCTTTGGGTCCCTCCGCGAGGTGCAGGTGGGGGCTCCCTCACCATACCCCCACACTCTCTCTGGCATGCCTCCAGGGACACAAAGTTATTGCCATTGCCCTGGCAGCTTCCATACCAGAATTCGGTACATTTACTGGTGCCCGAGTCATAGTAGAACCGGACCTTCCAGGTATCACAGGGGCCCTCATCACGAGGCAGGGAGCACACATTACCAGCAGATGGAGTTACAGGGGGTGGTGGGCGCTCCTGAGAAAGGAGAAGAGAAAGCAACTGTTAGGATATCATCCAGGATACTGTAGCTGGTAAATGTATTAACTCTACAAGCCAAATGATAGCATTATTTAACAGCTTTATTAAGTTTATTGAAACAAATTCAGGAACACATGTGATTCTTACCGCAGTCGTCTGGTATTCAGGACATCCAGCTCTTCCAAATCCTCGAGCTGGAGTCACCCCATCCAAACAACAGCCAAACCTAAAGAAGAGCGATATTATTTTTATTCACGGTGTAAACACAAATTGAGCAATTCATTTTTGTCGTATATTAAGCTAAGATATTCCTTTATTAGTCCCACAGTGGGGAAATTTCCAATATATTGATTACAAGGATGGGACCCAGGAGGCAGCACTACCTGGTGCGAACACAGTCCTCTTGGAAGCAGCCCTCATTCCTGGGTCCAGTGGCAGAGGTATGGCCATCAGGACAGCAGCCATAAAATGACTGTGCACATTGAGGGCCAACCACAGGAGGGTAGGGCTCGTGGTGAATGTTTGTCTGTGGTCTGGAAGCTAAAGCGAGTAAACACAGACACAGACGTGAACAAACATACTGCTACTGTACAGGCCATGCACGGACATATATGTTTAGCCTTTTGATTTGTAGGATTATATTTGGTAGCAGTTAAATTTGTCTGGATCATTTATTTTTGAATTTAAATATGGTTTAGTGAGGTAGTATAGAAACAGTTTGGGCTTTGTGTTTGTGAATGAGAAACATGAAATAAATGAGGACGCAGTGCAGTCATGATCCAGACAGAAACCTTAACAACATGTGGTAAAGGCAGGTTTACTTTATTACCTGAGAAGTCATTCATTCAAAAATAATTGGTTTTGGTGATAACTAAGCTCAAATAACGGGTTGCACATTCTTTTTTTCTTTTTTTTCTTTTTTTTTTGCACATCTTCTGCTTTGGCTACACATATACGCATATAAAACAACTGAAGAAAGAGAATAACATTACAGTCTCCTCATGTTCCATGTACCTGAAGGCTCTCCTGGAACATGGGGCACAAATCCTCTCATGGTGCTTTCATGTGCCCTTGGATCCTGTACACTTGGGACCACTGAAGAGAAAGTGCATTGATTAAATACAAACAAGGATAAACAGTCAAACTTGTGTATAACTGCATCAGATTTGGCTTACTTTGAGCTCCAGGACATGGCTGTGAGTTGCACGCCTCCACAGTGACAGGCCTGCTTGCTAGTCCACACCGGGCCTCGGGGTAGGGGTTCAAATCTGTATCAAAACAGCTAACCCTCCTCTCCCTCACACCCCCACCACAGCTTCTAGTGCACTGCAGACATGAGAAAAAAGAGGCAGAGCAATAATGAAAGAGGCTTTTTAAGTTTTCTTTGCAGTACAGAATACTTTTTTTTTTTATTCTTACCAGTCCGTAGTCAGTCACATGCCAGGTGATGTGTGCGTGACAGGCAGGCCTGCGGCAGACCTGGACGGAAGGAGGTCGTGCCAGTCCGCTACAGGCCTGGTCAGCCAGATGTTCACCTCCTGGTCCAACACAGATCACCTCCCTCGTCTGCTGGCCTTCCCCACAGGTCACTGAACACTGACATCATATACAACAACATATTCAAATCATCATACAGTAGATAAACACGGAGACAGTTAGTAGCCTTTATTCCATATCAGTTGTTGTTGTGAACAGAAAAAGTCTTTCCACCACACTCACTCTTGGATGTTGTAAAATACAGTAAAAGTGTACAATGATAGGGACTCTTTGTTGTGTTTTGCAATGTTCTATAAAGGTTAAATGTACTAGTCTATTTTTCCTAAATCATTAACCTCCTCCCCTTGCGAGATACGAACCACACTGAAGCTTGATACACTGTACTCCGCAGCACATGGATGCATGTTGCAAGCCTGCTGACTCTGCGGCCTCTGCAGACGCTGGGTAATGCAGTTAGACTCTTCCACCACACGGGGGTTCATCGGGTCCTGAACCCAGCACTCCACGCTGCGAAACTGCATGCCTCCATTGCAGGTGGCTGAGCAAGCGCCGTACACACCAGTTTTGTAGATGTACGTAAGCGTCTCCCTCGGGTGAGGAGCCACAACAACAGGAGCAGCAGAGTGCACAGAGTTAGTGTCGTCATCCAAACCCACGAACTCTCCATGGGTCAGTATCTGAAAAGAGACAAATTGCTGTGATGTCTGATTTACAAGAAAACACATTTAAACAAATCGACTCAAACTATCCAAGTGTGGAGGTGATGGTCTTGAGAATAGATGAGTGGGCTTTACATTGATATACAATGAATCAAATCAATAATTCCTGACATTCTATAACTATATCATTCTCAAGGTTAACTGCAGAATCTCAGTGTTGCTCTCACCCTGCAGACACCATCCACACAGATATCAGTGCGGCCCACATAGCATGGTGTCCCATCTACCACTGCAGGTCTGTGTCGATAGAAGAAGTTCTGTCCTCTTGGGACACAGTTCAGCTCACATGGATTGGTTGCTAGAATTTTAAAGATACAGTAATCACACATTTATTTTCGAGTGTGTAGTTTGTCCTGCTCAGAACCAAATGTGCCAGGGTTTCCTGTATAGGTTACTGTTGTGCAATAGAGTGTCAGAAAAAGAAGACAACCACTGTAATGTCACTCTCTATTTGTTTCCATCATTTCAATTGAACCTTTTTGTAATTTGTAATCCAAAGAAAAATCACTAAAAGTTATTAATTAGTAAGCATTACTTCACCAAGATTCAGATAATGTGATTGGACAGTATAATAGGTCTTATACCTCCATAATAAGGCACCCATGAGTGACGTTTGCTCTGAAAGTCCATTCTGTCAAACCGGGAGCACTGCTCCTCCCTGAAGTCCCTGGATCCGACCGGACATTCCTACAGCAACACAAAAAGTTGGATTATTGGTATATCTTTAGGACACATTTGTGCGGGTTGTGCAGGGTTGATGTTATGTTATGTATATTGTTATTTATATTAAAAAAAAAGTTTAAAGATGATTACATGTGTATTACAGGTTCGGAAGGCCTTAGATGATCCCAAGCAGTTATGTCCTCCATCTGTCCTGCAAGAGACAGAAAAGACAAACATCTCACACTCTTGATAAATGCACTTGGCTTCATTGGTCATGTCTAAAACATTTAAATGCTCATGATCATGTGCTTATAAAATTATCTAAAATAAAGTTGTAACCAAAAATAAAAAGGCAATGCAAGATAGAGAGAAAGTGAGAGATTAAAAAAAAAAAAGATGATTTAAAACAATAATTACTGTGCTACTTTCCCCCGCATCAAATCCTAAAATCTTTAATCTTGAAAGAAATCTTTAATCGATGAGTCTATCATCCCATTATAACACCCTGCGACTCCATGTCCTACCTTGAAGTGATACATTTTCTGGTTCTCATGGCCACTCCTGTGCCACAGGTGCGACTGCAGGGCCCATAGGCTCCAAACTCTCCCCAGTAGTCATGGGTTGGCTGTGTCAGCTGAAAAAAATCCCCCCAAAAAACCAATAAAACTCCTACTGGCTCTGCCGCTGGAACACATAGTGCTCTCACACACCATATCATAGCCCACCGCCAACCACTAACACACACTAAGAGCATGCTAGAGACACCAAAATAGAAGCTGGAACATTTAACCACAAACCATCCCCTCCATGTTGCATAATGTGTGTGTGTAAACCTGCTCTGTATCATATAAACAGCATCACTGCTGGCACATGTGTTAGAAATTAAACATTTGGGGATTTTTTTTTCACTGTTGAGATTTTGGACATACTGTACTTAGCGTTCTATGCGATTTGCATCTGTATTAAAAATACTGACATTTACATGCAAAGGGTGCAATATTATTAATATTAAAAGTGAGACTCACAGTGAAGGCAGGTACAGCCAGCAGCTGTAGGAGACCCAGTATTTGCAGGATGTTCATGTTCCCCAGAAGCCACTGCAGAACTACTGATAAGGATAGCAACTAAATAGCTGAACTCTCTGAGCAAGTACTTCAACTTAATATGAATGTGTGTGTAATTTGTCCGTTAATACATGTATGTGTATTATGATACATCAAATTAAATTCCTTGTTACCACTGGTGATTTCTTCGTTAATGTTTAATACATGCATTAAATGTGCAAAGTGTGGATAATTGAAACATGCCAATAACAAATCTGATCAAATACTATTTTTTCTTACCTTCTCGTAGTGAATTCCCAGCTGGTCGACCAGCAGCTCAGAGTGACATGCACCTCAACAGTGAAGGTAGGCACTGACACCCAGCTTTCTATCTTCTCACCCTCTCTGCTCTCCAACACCACAGCCCATATAGTGTCAGGTTTCAACCACCCAGAGATGCACAGGAGCTTTTTTTTTCCAAAAGATTTAGACTTCTCTTCTTTTTTTTTCCTTTTTTTTTTTGACAATGAATATAAGCTGTTATTTCGTCTGTGGGACAGAGTGTTCCCAGTTAAGACCCTCGGGCCATGAGACTATTTTGTTTTAGTAGTTTGAAGTCAATTCTTTCTATTTTTTTGCGCTTATGTAAAAAATGTATTTAAGTAATCATTGTATGGTATACCACAATAAAAGGAAGAAGGAGAAGAAGAGGATGTTTGAGCACACATAATTTAATGGTTTCATGTATGAATTTTAAAGATGAAAGCAATAATATTCATATAAGTCATTACATAAGAAAAAAGTAAAATGTGATCTAGGGTAAAAGATTGATTGATTTTTCTTCACGTTGCTGGCCACCGATGGTCCCTTTTGCACGTCTCACAACCACTAAGTACAGACCAGTAAGTCACAGCAGAAGTGCTGATGGGAGGTAAACATCGCCCTAAGGCTCTATATTTAGTTTTATTTTAGAGAGAAACCACAGTGGACCATGACTGAATGGGAAGAGATTATGGAAGATGTACAACTGGAAACCAGTGGAGAGCAAAACCCTCCTGTGTCAGAGTTTCAGAAAGCGGAAGGAGCCATGCGGCCTGATGAGAGTGAATACTTCAGTCTTATCCTTGAACAAAAAATATGCCTGAGAGAGAGAAAAAAATAACTATGATACGCGTGTGTGTTAGTTCAGGAAAAAAAAATCTGATGACAGCAGAAGTGATAGTAAATCATATGTTGACACGCAGCACAGGTTGAACCTCTGTACGGTCTTGTCATCGCCTGCATTAAAGAGAGCAGCACGTGGTAATCTAGCATGAAAGCAATGCAACAAATTCTACCGTTGTTAAGCTCATAATGTTCCAGGTGCTGTTGTATTACAGGACTAAGCATAGTGATACAGAGTAATGTATTTTAAGTTTTTTTTAGTGACTGTGTCTGACAGATATAGACCTAAAAATTACAATTTGCACAACAACAAGTTTATATAATGCCATTCAAGAGTCTCATTGAAATATTGTTTCAAAGCCATGAAAACCTCTGCATAACACTCCACCTCCAAACCCAACCCATCCAAATTTTCACTCACTCACACATCCCAGACCAAAAACCACTCCCCTCAGAAAAAAAAGTCACTTTCTCTCCCTCAAAGCTGCCGACTCAGTTTCTGTGTTTGCTTCTCCTTGGCTTCAAAGGCACTCTTGGTGCTGAATAGGTCGTCCACTGAATCTATGATCTCCTGCATTTCTCGGGACAGCTCAGAGTAGCTCTCCTTCAGGTCGTCCTGCTGCTGCCTCAGGTCCACCGCCGCACGCATCAACTCGGTGGCCTGGTGGCTACAGTGGCTCCGCAGCTGCTCCACGTCCGACAGCAGCACTTCCATGCTCTTCATCAGCTGCTCTAGGCGGTCGGCAGTTACCTCAAACTCGGAGGTGTCCACCCTCAGAGACTCGAAGCTGTCCGGCACCTGGGCCTCACTGTCGTCTGGGACCTGGGTCTTGCTGTTGTCTGGCACCTGGGTCTCGCTGTTGTCCGGGACCTGGGTCTCGCTGTTGTCTGGCACCTGGGTCTTGCTGTTGTCCGGGACCTGGGTCTCACTGTTGTCCGGGACCTGGGCTTCGCTGCTGTCTGGGCCCTGGGCCGCGCTGTTGTCTGGGACCTGGGTCTCAGACTCTGAGTCTGCCTTTGGGTCTGTCTCCATCCTCCTGCTGTAACAGCTCTCTGCCACCTGATACTCAAGTCAGACTTCAATAAAACAGATATCTGGAAGAAAAAGGAATCATTGAGCTGCAGCCAGTGATTGTAAAAGGTTAAAGGGTAGAGAGAATTCAAATATTTTCAGAAAAAAGCTGAGCGATGTCAAAGATGCAGAGCTGCTCCAATGCCTTTTCTCAGCTGGTAAGGAGTTTAAGCTCCTTGCAGGGGGTGAAAAATGCACTTCTGACTAATCTTCTCCGCTTGTGCACGTGTGTGTAGTGTGTGGGTCTGTGTGTAGGTAGGTATATGTGTATGTGCCCAGGTGTCCTTTCACTGACGTGTTCTCCCATAATCCACTTAGAGCAGCTAACCTGAGCAGCACCCTCCCCAGTCCAGACCATTGCTGGCTCGGCTGAGCGGCAGGCGGGACATCAGATTACGTGGTTCTTCCCTCCTCCCAAACCTTTTCACTGTCTGAGCAGAGAGATTAACCCTGTCCTGGTGAAGTCATCTGTGGGTGGCCTTGACACTCACATGCACACACTCATACTGTATGCATAATACTGTCTCCTATTCTCTCTCTCTGTCTCTCTCTCTCTCTCTCTGCCTTTTAATCTCCATTTTCTTCAGGTGTTGCTGGGAGAGTGTGTGTGTGTGTGTGTGTGTGTGTGTGTGTGTGTGTGTGTGTGTGTGTGTGTGTGTGTGTGTGTGTGTATGTAATTGTGCTATTGCTTGCTCTGTGTATTGTGTTTTGTGTTGAGGACCCCCTTGAAAACGAATTCCAATAAACATGATCATTCACAAACCTAAGTACAGAAAAAGCAATCAAATTCTAGCACTGTAATTTTATTATGACTGTTTCACATCACTGTAATGTAAGAACATTTCACTCTCACTTTCTTCTGCTGTCTTGTATAAATAGCTTACACAGATAATTGAATGGCAAATTAAATCTGCTCAATCGTAGATGTAGCTCTATATAAATCTTTATGTTGGATTCTGAGTGAGTTTAACCATGAAGATTGTAAGACGATGCCCTCTGATGGTTCAATAGGTGAAGGATGCTGCACTGAGAAAAAATAATAGATCTGCTTGTCATCTATCTAAAGATGGGACTAAGCTCAGCCGTTCAGCTGTTAAAGTGAAAGCTATAGATGATAGGAATTTGATACTTGCTAATGAAATATGTCTCACGTAGGAGCAAATGCAAATGGAAAATGTAGAAAATGTGGAATGTGTAAATTGAGATTTTAGTTAAAGTAAAATACAGTAAAGTTAGTACAGCTGAGTTAAAGGGGGTATTTGTAAGTGCAAACAGCTTGTATTGTTTTTTTTTTGTTTTTTTTTAAAGAAGCCAGAAGTCATAATATTTCCTGAAATATAAAAAACAGTCAAGATGACCATATTCTCTAACACGTTCTTACAGCTGCATTTTCCATAATTTTTACTTCAGTCATATCATAGACTGAAACAGTGAAAAATAAGAAAATGCACCAAAGCCAAGACAAAATGTCACATGTTTAAAAGCATGTTAAAGAGCCGGCATGAGCACCTACCCTTTAAATGGCTGTAAAGATAAGGAGTTTGAATGGTGACCTCACCACCCTCAATGTCTTATCAAAACAGGACAACTTGCTCTGGGGGGCCAACGTCAAGGGGAAACTATCCTCTTTCTCAGAGGTAAACACAGCAGTGTCAATATTTGCTTCATCACAAGAACAGTGAGAATTTTTTTATTTGGGACATATAAAGAATTCTGTGTTGACAACAGTAAAACCATTGAGATAAAGCAGTTAAATGAATCACTTGCAGCAATTATTTTGCTATAAAAGAGCAGGTAGTAAAGCAAAGAGTTAGCTTGGAAGACAATACAAACAATGAGTTTAATGAGACTGTAGTTGTCTTGTTGTCCTTTCCAACAATTCAAAGACAGTGGACACCATGATTAAGAAGGGAGCCAAAAGGGGGGAGGACACAAAAGCAAAAAGATCCAGTTCTTCACTAAAGTAAAAAACAGCATAACTTATTGGCAGCTACAAGTAGAACAGAGCTAATTAAGGAACTAAAAACTGCTAAAATGTGGACCAGAGAAACTATTATTGAACAAAAACACACAAAAAAATTACAGATAAAATTGCAGGAATAGCAAAAATAAGAAAATGAACTCTTACTTGTTCCTCTGGTTATTCTGAGAGTGTCCAGGATGTAGTGACATGCAGGCTAAAGATAAGCTAGATTTTGTGCGGGGGGATGGATCCTGTCCAGACCACGCCGGTGCTGCCCACCTCACGGCAACTATATTCACTCACTGTGACGATGGTCTTGATGAAACTTTTTTAGTCTGAACTCCAGACTTTGTGAACTGCTTATCAGCAGTTCACAAAGAAACTTCAGCTGGTGTGACAGATGGCATCTGTATGATTTCTGCAACCCAAAGGCCATTTTCCATGATGACCGTAATCAAATCAACATTTTCAAGTATTTTACCGACTCAATGTATGAATGCGCAAACACAGACAAATGCCCAGACTCACAAATGTCACATTCATAATTAACTTTTCCTTAAACTTCTTAAATATATAATGTGGAGTAATTAGACATTATATATCATTATCTATCACCTGTACATGAACTGTAGTCTCACAGCCTGAATAGAATCTATTGTTACCATACTCATTCATAGTGAAATAACATTTGTCCTCTATGTGTCAGCATTATGTACCCTAATTTTAAAAGCCATGTTCTAACACTGGTTTCATATTGAGCAGATGAGTAGTCTCTGCTGTAGAGTTTTCTCAGGCATCAAACACACACGTCCAGTACTGCGGGCAAGCAAGGACAGAGGCCCGTCATACTGTATATCACAACTGTTAGATTTTTCTTTTGTCTAACAGAACAGACACAATCATATCTTATCACATATTGTTGCGTTTCAGATTTTATTTAATGCTTGTTTTCATAGATAGACCGAACATAATTGTTATCAGCAACAATTTCTGCTAAAATGAAACTACAACAAGAGTCTGTTAACAGTTTGATGCAGTGCATGAGTTGCTTGTGGGACAGCGTAGCAGCATCTGAATACCACTGTTCTTTATTCAAGTTACATAGGGCTATTGTCATCTAAAGAACATTGTTTTAATTTCATTTTGAAGACTTCTGTGTCCTGGTGTGGTTTAATGTTGGTCAGTTACACTGATAAACTCAACGGTGGATGCTCAGCAATTTTTGCAGGAGTGGTTTGACACTAGTTTGTGTGAAGAAGAAAAATGCAGAGAAAGAAATTTGTGTATTTCTTCAATGTCTCCACATGGGGGCAGCCTTGTAACTCTTAAGTTTTCTGAGTTTTACTTACTGTCCTCT